TGGCTGGTGACTATATTGTGAATACTGAGAATTCTGGTAGTACATGGGGGCTTGTGGAGGCTGCAAAGGCATTTTATTTTGTGCCACTGGAGGAGCTTGAGGGGGCGGAGGTGGTGGGTATGAAGACTCGGGCGGCGGAGGTGGTGGTGGATAATTGTATTGTGGTGGTGGGTGAGGGTGTTGAGTTCTTGGAGGGCCGTAATTACCATGATTGTAATTGTAGTTTTGAGGATACGAAGAAGAAGCTGCAGGCACAGCCCCATCACCACCACCACCACCAGCACTACTAGCATTATATCCCCAATTCTGATTATATTGATTGCCTCTCTGTGAAGGAGGTGGCGGTGGTGTTGGTGTAAGAGGGTTTTGATTCGGCGGCGGCCCGAATGACGATTGGGGCGGGAAAGGCCTGTATGAAGCCATAGCTATGATGATTCTCAAGCACACCAAACAATCAACCACAACCAGAAACAGTCCCTTTCAAATTGCCTCTACAAACTGATAAAACCCCTAAAGCAGCAATTTTTTCTTTATGGCCTCAAATCTCTAAACAGCCAAATACTCCCAATTATAAGCTATATATGCAATTACATATTTTGAATAGCTGCGGAATCATAACAAAATAAATACCAGAACCTGGAAGATAGAAAATTTGAATTAAATGAAGCAGTCTGCATAGCTGAAACCAGATTTGAATGTGAACCCTAGAAGAGAGATAAAAGCCCAGCTTTAGCTCGAAACCCTAAATTCTCAGCTGGAGAGAGGCTGCGAAAACCCTAAGCGAGTGACCGGAGAGACAGATCGGAGGGAAGGAGACGCTTGTTCCTGGCACACGGAGTGTTTGGTGAGCAGCTCGAGTTCGAATCCTCTGGCCCCAATTTCTCTGTCCCCTAGCTAATCTGTTGACACCTGGACAATAACTTAACTCTAATTTAACACTGTTAAGTTTTAAAAAAAAATAAAAAAAATAAAAAAAAAATTAGAAAAAGAAACAAAGAGCACAGCAACGCCAGCCCACCTGCTCAAAAAATCCCCGACGACAATCCACCTCCCCTCCTCACCAAAAACTCCCAATTATAAGCTATAATGCAATTACATATTTTGAATAGCTGCAGAATCATAACAAGACATAAGATTGCGAAGCCCTATCATTCCAAGTCATGAAAACATGCGCAAAAAATTTAAAATCAAAGATGATTAGGCAAAATCAAGCATGAATCTTCCGTGTTTGGTATTAATTAAATAAGAAATAAGCAAAATCGAGTGAATCACGGACCTAATTTGAGATGAGACGAGTAGGGGTGAGTGCAATTTGATCCAGTTCAGTTTTCACCTCACATCGAAATTGGAATCGGAATTGATACTATTTAAACAATACGATTCTGTTCGATTTTAGTGAAATTTTTTATGAAACTTGTTGGTTTGATTTAAATATGTTTTGGTGTATTTTTTATTTTTTCAGTTTTGGACCGGATATTGAAATTGTTTTTTTATTTAAAAATTCCAACTAAAATTTACTTTTTGGGCTTAAAAATTCACAAATGATTCAATTTCATGCAAAGAGAGATGATTGGGTCTTGAAAAGAAATGTGCTTTGAAGTTGGGCTTGAGGAAATATTAGTTATGGGATTAGAAATTTAGCATTGGACTTAAATAATTTTAAAAATATGTAGTCGGTCCGGTCCAGTCTGGTCTAGTTTTGTAAAGTGTGAAACTCGTATTATAATTGGTTTGAACTGGTTTGGCCTAGTTCGGTGCCAGTTTGTTGACTTTTTAGTCAACACAATTTTTTCCCCTTTTTTCCATTCGATGCAGCTCAATGTTCCCATTTTCCGGTCTCGATGCCCACCCTTAGAGACGAGGCTCATGCTTTGATAATGTCAGTAGGGGGTTTCTGCAATTTTCACTCGCATCGAAAAAAAATTCACAGAAAAGAGAGAGATTTTATTTTCTTTAATTTTTAATTTTCGGTTTTTATATTTTGACTATCATCGAGGTGATTACTGGCCTCTTTGTTTCTTTTTTAAAATTTTCTGTTTTTTATTTTTATTTTTTTACTTATCAGCGTTAAATTAGAGTTAAGTTAGTGTCAAGATGTCAACAAATTAGCTAGAAGATAGAGAAATTGGGGCCAAATGACTCCTTCATCTTTCATCAATTTCTTGATTGGCTTGGCTTCATATATGGTTCTTACAAATTTATATATGTCCTTTTTCTTTCCTTTTTACCCAAAGTTTTATGGTATTTGCCTCATCTTAGTAAACTTACTTTATCTTCCTAGATACAAAAGAGAACTTAAGCTAAATTTGTATTATGTTGTTCCTTCCCTGAGAGCACCTCCAGCATTGTTGGTTTGCCCGGGCAGCAGGGGGCCTAGGCCCAGCTTTTGGCTCCAGCGCACAAAGGCAAGACTAGGCAGTTGATGGGAGCCACAAGCCTGGGCAGGGCCAAAGGCAAATCTTGCATGGGTTTGTTGACGTCATTGATGACATCATAAACTAAAAAAAAATTAAAAAAATTTGAAAAAAATACCAAAAATTTCAGAATATATATATATATATATATACCTAGTCATATTTTTCACATCTCATGCCAAAATATATGGTTTAAGTTTTAAAAATATAAAATAAATTAAAATAAATAGTAATTGCCCTTGCCCTTGCCATTGCCATTTGGAAGGTTGACACTATTCACGTGAATAGTGTCAAACCTTGCCTTGCCCTTGCCTTTCTCTATCTCACCTAAGCCATATGACTAGAGGTCGTAACCTCATAATTACAAGAGACAATTATCAAGTTTCCCAAAATTGGAATCAATTTTTCCGTTAACAATTTCAGCATACATCCCATCTTTTGGTATGACAATCCTTTCCCAAAATCATCAGGGGCATCCAATCCTTTCTCATTTTCAAATACGGGTATCAAAAATGATTTTACTGTTTTTAGCTCGTAGAAAATTGTTCTCGATTTAAACTACCAAACACATTCTCAAATCTTGAAAATTGTAAAACGTTACGGGACGATCCTTAAGTATCTCTTCATCTATGCTTTTGCCTCCCTCTCTCTCTCTCTCTCATCCAAATATTATAAAATAACTAGTTATCTGGTAAGAGTGATACAAATTTAGTGGGCATTGATTTGGGCCTCAAGCCAAGGGTGAGTTGATCCAACCTCAGAAATTCTGAAGCATTCTCATTGTATATAATAAAGCCCATTTCATATTCTGGCAAGAAACAGGAGCATTTTCATTGAACACATAATATAAGCTTACATGGATATTAGAATCCAAAACCACCTAATTAAGTCTCCTAATACACCTTCATTAATCTAACGGAGGTTGGTGCACATACATAGTACAAAATCCACCAACCACTCATATTAATTGTAGCCTCTGCCTCTCTCTCTGGCTGTTAATAATTTTCTCTTCACTTGGGGCGACATGCTGCCTCAATAGGCCCAGCTTGCCTTGCCATCTGAAAGAAAAAAAAAATTACAAAAATAAAATAAAATTTAAAACACATTTTAATATATATATATATATATATATATATATATATATATATATATATATATATATATATATATATATATATATATATATACACTGGTGTAGAGTTTACCTGAAAATAAGCCTCAAGCCTCTTCTTTAGTGTTGCATGCTCTTTCTTCAATGCTTGGAAAGTCCTCATGCATCTGGATTTACCATCAAAACTTTTAAGTGGCATACCAATTTTATCTACACATTTTTCCCCTTTTTAAAATTTATTCTCCATATTATCAATTTATTATATATTTTGTACGAATATAAAGAGAGATGATTCGAACTCGAGTTAAGAGAATATAATTATAATAAGAGTTTTTTAGTGATTGACGCTAAGATTGTGTACGTACCCTTCTCCATTTCCTGCGTCACAATATTCCCTAAACTGTTGGCACTCAGCTTTTACTTTTTTGGCTCCGATGCTGCACCAATGAAGAGAAATATGTTTGGTTGGGATTAAATCTTGTCATCTGAACGGCAAACACAGAATATACTTACAGATTCCTTTCTAATATCTCTTAAAATAATAACAAAATGAGGATGTTTTATTTTTATTTTTTACCTTGAGCTACTTCCCTTGAACTGATGCATGTAGCTGTCCAACTTACTAAAATCACGAGGGGTCTTCTCTCTGCATATATACATTACTATATATATAATCAACCAATATATATGTATTGTCATTGAATTTTATTTTAAAAGTAAACATCATAATTTGACTCACAGTGCCAGCTCTATGGCTTGGAGTGATCTGTATGAATCTCGGTAGTACGACGTAGCAATTTCCTCCACAAAATTTGGGTTAGAGTCATCTTGCAACTCCTCCAACTGAATAAACTGTTCGTCCAGAAATCCCTGAAATTCCCATAAGTAATTTAAAAATGGATGATGTAAATTTGCATGCACGTATCCATTTTATTGTTCTGGGAGTACTGTGCTATTTTTGGAGAACTTAATGGTGTCATTTGCATTACATGTATGATATGTACAATGTCTCCCTGCATTAGTACCTAGAAAAATATAAATTACTAGTTTGAAGATTAAGAAAGTGAGGAATTTAAATTTGAAAAGAAAAAGGGAAAAAGAAAAGGTAAAGAGATGAAGAAGAAAAAGAAAAACCTGATCAAAGAGGGACTGCCTCATGAGACGAACCTGCCTACGCGACTGGTTTTTGTCCATTTTGTGAGAAGGGTAGAAAAGCAAAGGATAATGAAGAAGATATATTTTG